ATGAGAAAGTTATGCTTGGTCAAAGTTGAGTTAACTTTTCCTGCAAAACCCTAAATTAGCAACTTTTGAATCTTGATGAATTATGAGCAATCCTTGATGAATCATGATCAACTCTTGATCAAATGATGAAATATAATTAAAAATGAGGATGTTGACCAAAAAAATTTAAGTTTGACTGTATGTAGGCCACAGTTGACTTTTGCCCTAGCACAGTCGATTTTCAGGCCTTTGAGCAATTGACTGAGCAAACTTTCTCTGCAAGGCTTGAAACTTGACATGGATGATCTTGAGAACATATTAGGACATTGGTGAGCACTTGGGATCACTTGGACTCAAGTATCTTGATGCAACATGAAACCCTAGTTTGGGGTAGACTACCTTAGGAGAGAGCTTGTTTGGCCAACCCTTGGACTACCTTGAGCAACTTGAGGATCTTTCTTGAAATATTTTGAGAAATATGGGAGGGCAAATTTTGGGGTACAACAATGGCATACCTAGTATTCCTGCAAACGAGATCTACACACCACCTCCGCACATGACAAACTTCAACATGAGCGAAGATGAACCGTCTACTGATTTATTATTCAATCCGTATATGCAGTCGGATGAAAACTTAAAAGAGAAGGACAAGTTTCGTAACATAGAGGAATGCATCAGAGCCATAAAAAAATTCCACATGCTCAACTCGGTCGATTTTAAGGTGGACCGTGTCAACCCGGAAAGGTACAAGATCAAGTGTGTCCACCCTGACTGTATGTTCAAGCTCACTGCATCATACATATTAAGAGGTGATTGTTGGGTCATAGGTTTCATGACTACCCACACTTGTGTAAGTTCTACCCAATCACAGGACCATCGAAAACTTAATTACGATCTCATTTGTCAAGAAATCCTACCACTGGTCAGCAATGACCCATCTTTGAAGGTGAAAACCATCATCTCCCACATCACCATAATTTTTAACTATACTCCGTCTTACCGTAAGGCGTGGTTAGCAAAGACTAAGGAGATTGAAAAGGTGTACGGAAACTGGGAGGATTCATACCAAGAACTTCCTCGCTATCTGAATGCACTCAAGACTTATTCTCCGGGTAATGTTTACGTTCTGGAAACAGTGCCAGCATACGCCTAAGATGGTAGTCAACTAAACGGAAACAGAATATTCAGTCGAGTGTTTTGGGCATTTCAACCTTGCATCACAGGGTTTGCATCATGCAAACCAATTATACAAATTGATGGGACTTGGTTGTATGGGAAATACAAAGGCACGCTACTGATGGCAATTGCACAAGATGGAAACAACAACATTTTCCCAATTGCCTTTGCCCTAGTCGAGGGGGAGACCGGTGGTGCTTGGAGCTTTTTTCTGAAAAACCTGCGAACACACGTGGCTCCTCAACCAAATCTCTGTTTGATCTCGGACAGACATGCCTCCATTGAAAGTGCCTACAATAATCCTTCAAACGGTTGGCATGACCCTCCTTCTACGCATGTCTATTGCGTTAGGCATATCGTCCAGAATTTCACGAGGGAGATCAAGGACAAAACACTAAGGAAAGCGGTTATGAATGCGAGATATACATTGACACAACCCACGTTCAAATATTACCACAACGAGATCTGTTTGTCAAATCCGGAAGCCGGTAGGTGGATCGACAATATTCCAGTGGGAAAATGGACTAGGTCATACGACAATGGCCAAAGATGGGGGCACATGACAACGAATCTTATTGAATCAATGAAAAGGGTATTCAAAGGCATACGAAACCTCCTGATCACTGCATTGGTAAAATCTACGTATTTTAGGATGGCTTCGTTGTTTGCCAAAATAGGTGAAATATGGAATGCGGTGTTGCAATCTGGACAACTATGGAGTGAAATATGCATGAAGTACATTAAGGCAGAAAGTGCCAAAGCCAACACTCATATGGTTATACGGTTTGACCGACACAGCCACAACTTCATTGTGAAAGAAACAATCGACCACAACGAATGCCTGCCAAGACAAGAACATAGGGTTATACTACCTTCTCGTTGGTGCGATTGTGGCAAGTTTCAAGCCTTTCGTATGCCTTGCTCTCATGTCATTGCCGCTTATGCTTATACCCATCAAGACGCGCTACAACTTCTGTCACACATTTACAAATCTGAAATGTTGCTCAACGTTTACAACAACATCTTTCCTTTGGTAGCAAAACCAGATTATTGGCCTGCATACGACGGCGAAATAGTGTGGCACAATGACCAAATGCGAAGGAACAAGAAGGGTCGTCCCAAAAGTAAGCGCATCACAACCGAAATGGACGACCTTGACAAGCTAGAAAAAAGTGTGGGTTATGCCGTCAGGTCGGACACAATCGCAAAAATTGTCCGAATCAGGCGTCTGCCTCGACCACATAAAAATTGTAATACATAAAATCTTTCCTTAATTATGTTGTAAACATTAGGATTTTTCGTTAACAGTATTTGCTACAATAAATATTGCGCGTATAAGAAAAAAACACGATATTCCGTCTACAAAATTACAACTGTTAAAAACAATTTCATCTGACCCATGCATCATCAACATTACGTCGCTGTCTGTTTTGACTTCCTCCAACCATACATTAGGTATTCCAGTCGCATGTGAGGTTGTTGTTCGTCTTTGCTGGATCCTTCAAATTTCCCCCCCTCCACAATGTCTCCATCTAGCCATCGCATCAACTCCCGCTTCAGACGCTCCATGGAGTGAATGTGCCAGAATTTCATTTTCATCGCAGGTTTCCTGGCGGAGAAGATAACGTAACCATCTATGGTAAAAATCATGGGCGATGTCATGACGCAAATAACAGAGTAAAAAATAAGAAAACAATGCGAGAAAGTGTGAGAAATTACAGAGAAACAGACGAATTATTTATAAAAATAGCATTTTGCCCTAGGAGCCAAGTGAGACGGCGCCTCCTCTCACTTTTAAAGTGCATGCGCCATCTCACTTGGCTAAAAGAGAGAGGAGGCGCCAAGTGAGATGGCGCCTAGGGCAAAACCCTAGGTGGAGGCGCCAAGTGAGATGGCTCCTCCTTTGGGGAGTCATCTGAAACATGGTTATTTGCGTATTTTTTTCCGAAACGTGGTTATTTGTGAAAAAAAAATTTTAATACCTGGTTATTGCAAAAAAAAATTCCAAATGTGTCTTACATGAATGATAACTCATTATTTGTGTAAAAATCTCAAATGTGATATTTAAAATATCAAAATGTTCGATTCTTATGCAAATTTTTATGGGTGTATTGATTGGGATAAATTCAAATTAAATTGGAATCTAAACTAAATTAAAATATTTAGATTGGGTATTTTTTTCCTTCAGACAGAAACTGAACTAAATCGATGTTATTTAGTTTGGATAATAGATTTTTAAAATTTTATCTGTGATCTCATCTAATCGAATCAACTATATTAATTCAAGTAATTTATATCGTTGTTATCATAGAAACTAATATACGATATTCAATTTCAAGAAGAAAAAATAAAACATCATTTGTGACATTCACAATTTATATGAAAAAATTAAAAAAAATTAAAAAATTTATATTATTATAAAAAATTAGTTGATGTAAATTAGATATTTTTTAAAATATTTTTACATATTTTTTTATAATATATCCGATGAATCCAACCTAAATTATCATGTTATTTTTTGATTTGTTTTGATTTGAATTTTATCGAAAAAATATAAAAATTCAATCCAAACTAATTCATATATTTTTGAAAGGTTTAGACATTAAATTTTTTCAAAACCGAGTTAGACTGGCCCACAAACACCTTTACAAATTTTCTTTTGCATAAATAACATAATTTCAAAATAAATAGTTCTAAATGATTCTATGTAAAATGGTTTATCAATTTTCCAATACAGATAGAGAAAAATCTGAATAGAAAATTCCCCATTTAGAAAAGAGATTGTTACAAAGTTCCCGTAAAACTTGTGATAGAATTTGTGTTAAGGTGTACATGTTCCCACTTTCATTTTAAAAAACCGTTTAAATTTAAGGGTATAATTAGTATGATATCTGTGCGTTTGCACGGGTACTGTTTTGACATTCTCATTGAGTTAAGCAGAGTTAATTTACAATATACTCAAAGAATTCATATATCAATAGAAATTCTTATAAAAAACATACTCTAATAATAATAATCAATGGAATGTAAGATAAATATCTAATTCTCAAACAATTATTAACTAAAAATATCTGAATATAAATAACTATAATTTTATCCTATAAATAAATAACACCACGCAGTTCAATCAGTAAGAGTTGTTGCAATATATAAATAATGTTTGTTATATATATAGGACTATATTCTCAAGTTTTCCAAGACTCAGTTACTCAAACGGTAAACTTTATAATATTTCGCAATTTTGAAAATTAAATTGGTAGAGGAAAAAACCAAAGTGTCATGGTTGAAATAGTGATACTTAACCCACCAAAATCAAATATAACTACTTAGAAGAATAATCAAATTAAACTGTCAAATGACTTTCTTTAGTTTATGCCATTCAGTTTAGTCACTGGATAGTGGGTTATTGCTAACTAATCTACCAATTCAATTTCCATAGCTACCAAATGATTAATATCAATAGAGACAACAGAGCATAGCATGTGTTTATTGCTACACCATACACTATTATTCTAGCCAGTATACATCACAGTAGCATGTGTTTATTGATACTATTATTATTGATACAACTCAATTCACACGAAGTCTACATCACAATAAAAATTAAAATTCTAATCAAGCTTTCATGCGGTTTCTTCTTTTTGCTACTACTCAGTTTTGGTCTTTTGGGATGTTGTTCCGGAGAGTCACCATCAGTAAGGGTTGGCAACAAATTGAAGGATGGATGAATATTCTCAGAAAATTAATGACAGGAAGTGCATATTTTTGGATGTTTGAAGTTGTTTTTCTCATACCACTCGGCAATTAAGTTCTTTAAGGCACAATTTAGTGCTAATTGAAAATGTTCAAGTGGTTGCCTTGTCTTTGGGAAAGAGTTGTGATTGGATTTGAACCACTTCTATATGCTTTCCCTTTGATGAAAACAAACACACACAATCACAAGAAAATGAGTAAAGTTAGTTTTGTTAGCATCATGCATATGTGGGAAAAATGATTTTTTTTTGAAGAACTATGTGACTATTACCTGTTCAATTCCAACAATAACAGGACATGTCATGATTTCAAGTGTTATTGGACATAGAAACTCATAAGGGATGTTCAAAGAAGTGCTTCTTCCAAACATCTTATTAGGCATGGCAGGATCATCATCTATAACAACCCCAATTTCTTCCATACATGCAATCCTTTTGTATTGGTTGAGAAGACCAATTATTTTATGTGTTCTCTCTTCTAGGTGTCCCTTTCTTTCTCTAGCAAGGTATCCAATAGCCACTGTTTCTACCTCAAGATCCTTAACACTGTGAAGTTCCAACTTTTTCGCAAGCCTTTCGACAATAGCACTGTAGGCATTACGATCATCTTCGTCAGAGAACACAACCATCATATCCATTGCTAACTTTATATCTTGTGTATTTGTCCTTCTCCTTGCCCTCTTGAGTTGCACGTGCATTATCTCTAGCTGAATAAAGTCACAGTATATAACATAATCTCAATATTCACATCAAGAGTACCAAAACTGAATTGAAATAGAAATGATTAAAATCAAGCTATCAAAATTCAATAGAGAATTTGGTTTTGTTGCAATCACATTTTCCACGCATTAATCCATTCATCATATTAATAGTCAGTGGATCAAAACGCACTTATTTCTACATCTTAATTCGTTGATTATTAGGGTGTCCTGATGGTAAGAACACTATAATTTATCAAACTGTTCTCTAAAAGATCAATCAGTGTGACAAGAAATGTCGTTTTTTGTTTTAATTTGATGAGAGAGCAAATACTTACAAATCATTTGGCTTGGTTGACTTGGATAGCGCTGACGTCAATGTTCTGTGATTCATAATATCTACATGACAGTTTCCCTGCCGCACATATTTATGTTCACCTTAAAAGCAATTTAAGCACATTGCCATCAAAATTCAGTACACCATCTTATGTTCACATTCGTGTTCAAATCAATTCAAACACTCAATCACAATGGAATCCAAAACAAAAGGGCATGTAATAACCAACACAGTTTTGAAAACTCATGACAAACTTAAAATTAAACCAATTCAAGTATTTGCAACACAATTATGCACCTGCAATCAATGTTCGAATACAACGTCATTTAATATCTGACACAATTCAAGCAATTTGAAACAATAGCAACAACACAAAACAGATTGAACACACCAGTAGCAAAACAACAAACAACTTGCATCACCTCATAGCAAACCTACGGATTCCAGCATCAGTATAAGGAGAAGGTGAGCAAGAAGGAATCGTACCTACGCGTTACCACTGATAGAGCTCGAACTTGCCATTTTTGTTCAGGTAATTTGAAGCTACTGATTTACCGTTTTCGTTAAGACTCTTGAACATCCCTTGTAGTAACCAAGTCCATGTCGGCTCTTGAAATAGTTTTATCCAAAGCTCTATAAACACAATTTTGAATAGTATAATTTATCATCCATTACCTATAATAATAATAATAATCCTGTCAATAGATTTAGATCTCATATGATCTAAATAGAAAAATGTTGATCACCCTAGTGAAAATCATAATTATACTTTAGCATGCCAAATTTAAATAATTCAAGACAAGAAAAGTGCCACTTAGAATTGAATTCTAAACACTAAAATGTAGTAAACTGACTGTATAGATATAAATATTACTGAGATTGAAACAATATTGGTGTTTTTCACTCTGCACATCCCCATCATAATTCTTACAGGCCCATACATAACCTCCGTCACTTTTAACAGCATACACAACCATATCATATATAAGACGGTGTTCATACCTAACAATCAAAATTCAAGAATGTGAATTAACAATATACTGACAATATGCAATAGTCTTGTCCAGTTTGCAAATTGGTTTTTAAAGTTCAATTATTTAAAGATTAGTACAGTTCTGAGAAACTACCTTAAAACTTAATGAGCAACTCAATTAGAGGGGACATATATCATGATATCTATATGATATCTCTGTTACTGCCTATGTATCAGCAGCAGTGTAATAAAAATGGGCGACATGAGATGTATGCATTATTAACAATACCTATTATTGCCTTTGTATCAGTAGCAGTGCCTGCTCCACAACAACTTGTCTTATACACTGATCGATGTAAGTGTACGCAATAACCACCCTTCAAAAAGGTCCTAATAATCAAATCCTAATAATCAAATCCATGAAAAGAAACCAATTAGATTAGCATTAGTCATAAAAATGTACCACAAACTCAACAAATAAAGAAAATGTCACAGCCAAAAAGAAACAGAAAACTTGATTTTCATACCTATCCTTGGACTTATATTTTGAGGAACACTGGTATCATAGTTATCAAAGTGAGATACATCACCAGACAATTGAACGCATCGAAATGGAACTTTTAGCACATGGCCAGTTTCTTCATGAATGACTTCCCTGTAAAACATAACGACGTCGATTAAATTGCATAGTCCAAGATGATAATTGATAAGTCTATTCACCCTTGATTTATGTTTTTAATGTTGTAATTCATGTTCAATATATATGATTATCGAGAAATTCATACTTGGACAATCTGTTCCGGGCAAATGCCTATGCCAAAACCTACCCTTGAGGCTAATAGTCACGTATGGTCCATCTAACTCACCAATTCAACTAAACCTGAAACACCATATGAATAATTATTATTATAATCACACAATCAAATTCTTGGTGCTTATTACAACATATATGTTAGATATATACAAACATTTGAAATTAATGCAAACCAACAGACTGAAACTCATCATTGGAAGCAGTTACTTAACATCCATAACAGCGAGATAGGAAATTGCATTACATCTTGGCAAGTATAGTTAGCAGCTAACACTTAAAACTGACTGTGTTTCTTTGTTACAATTATTCACGTTAAATTAAAGCCCATTTTCTGTATGTATAGTTACCTGTCGGTTGGGGAATAATGCTAACATCTTCCATGATCCCCATTGTTAATACAGTTTCTACATCTCTTTTTCCCTGATGCATGCTGTAGACCTGAAAATACAATTGCAGATGATACAAAAAATCATTCTCAATGACTATGCAAAAGCAAGGAGTGTTTCATAAAAGAGAGAATAAAGAAATGTCCAATATTTTTCTTTTGATGAGAACATATCAATTGCCATCATGTTGCCAACAATCAAATTTGATAAAAATAACATCACAGTCAATTTTAAAACTGAAATTAGATAAATATGGAATTATCATGTTTTGGCTTGATTTGCAGTTTCACGCACAAATTAAATGTATACCAGTTCTTCATTAAATGTATATCATGTTTTGGAATAACAATGATCACATCACAATCACGAAGACAAAAATATATGAGAGTCATTGGAATTTTAAAAAAACAACGATCATTTGTAAAATGAGGAATTGAAACAATCTGCAACTTTATAAACAAACAACAAACAGTGAACCAAAACGCCACTTTCCTATTGTTTTTGTGTATTCTTATTGTACATATATTAAACACTTATGCATTTGTGCTAGTTAATTGTAACTTATATAAAACAAACTGAAGTGGTGCGTTTGATGGCTCCAAAATAAATGCAGAAAAAGAGGCGATGGATAATCCCTCGCTAAAAAAACGCAAACATATTGCGTGGGATATCCCCTCGTAATTTACTTGCCTCAAAAATAATATTTGCAGGTGCAATCTGACAGACGGTAAGATTGGACCAATGTTGTTTATTTGCGTGGAGGAGCCCCTTGAAAAAATATTTTTGCCATAAATATCTGAATATCCTATCTTATGAAATGACTTTTTGGCGCCATATTAATTAGACAGGGGTTGTCCCTCACAAATCAATTTTTCAAAATTCAAAAATTCCCTCTTTTATATTAGCGACGGGTAGCCCCAAACTATTGTTTTATTTCGTTTTTTTAAATTATGCGTTGCGAGGGGCTATACCACAAACAACTGTATTTTTTTTGTCCCTGGCTAATTCCCCTAACAAATATCACTTTTTCTTGTAGTGATAATATATATTTTATTTTTAAAAATATTGTATCTTAAATTTAAAAAAATGTCAAAAAAAATTATTAGTAACATAAACTAGTAGAAGACTCGTATGTTCGCATGGATAAGTTCATTTGATATAATTTGATTATTCCTAATATATTATTATTATTATAAACCATTAATAACTATAAATATTTAAAAATAAATATGTATCAAATAACTAACATAATAAATTCAATATATTTAATAATTATAAATATTTGTAAATATCACTAATAATTATAAAAATTTATAAATATTTTATTGATTAAAATATAAAAAAGGTATTGTGGTGATAATGACCTATAAAAATAATGAATTTCATTGATAAAATTTACATTAATTGATAAAATTTATAAATACCCTCATTATTTTTTAGAATACAATAATAAATTAATAATTATATTACAAATTAAAAAATAAAAAATTATGATGTCAATTTTTCTACCGCGTATCAACCTTTTAAAAATTTTTAAATTTTGGTAGAATGCAATTTGATCAAGTCAATGAAAAAAAATTATAATGATGTCTTGGAACAAAGAATCTAAGAACTTGTGCACATATTGATTCAATTGTTACAAAATATATGAACACAATTATTCAATTTAATAAATAAACATAAAATGTTAACTTAACGGCACTCTAATGAAAAACTTACATATCTTGCCAATAAAACAATTTTTAATGATTTCATCAACTCTAAATTTTCTCACAATTTCAAAACTATTTAAAAGTACAAAGAACTTAAATTAAATATAAAATTCATGTATATTTAAAAAACAAATAAATGTCAAACTATAAAATCTAACACCTAGAAATATTCGATTTATTTAAAAGTTTGGTGTTCACAATCATTAGTATAATATATATTAAAAAATACAAATAAATTAGATTCAATATTTTCAAAATTATAAACAAAACCATTTTAACACACAAGTAACAATTTCAAGACAGCATGACATTATTCATCTACCATGACCATTGGTAGTGTGATCTGTTATACAGTTGATATGTCACAAAAAGTTATACTTTCTCATAGAAAACAGTAGAAAGTTCGGAGTGAGCCAAACAAACAGCTTTGAGAGAGATACATCATTTCTCCTTCTAAAATCTTAAGATGATAGGTGAGTGGGTTCTCCCACTTATATATGCTTAAGTCTCTACATTTTTATTCAATGTGAGACTATTTCTCCACTTACTCGCATTTTCTATATTATTCCAACACTTATAACTTTATTACCCGACAATATAGCTTGAATGCTTTTTAGTAGGACAGATATGCAAAGCAATGGAGTCAAATCAGAGCACACAAAACATCAATTGAACTACATATAATATTAAGAAAACACATGAAACATGGACAAAGAAAATGAAATCATCAAAGAAATCAATGCAGATAAACACCAAAACAGTGAGCATAACAAATATA